GAGAGAGAGAGAGAGAGAGAGAGAGAGAGAGAGAGAGGAGGGGGATAGAGAGAGAAATAGAGAGAGAGAGAGAAAGAGAGACATACAGACAGACAGACAGACAGACATCATGCACAAATGGAAGCCAAAGAACAACCCCTGTTGTCGTTCCTTTAAACACCACCAACTCTTTTGGGGGGGTCTTTTGGGGGGATGTTTGCTTTCTTTTGCTTTTGAGACAGGGTCTCTCACAGGCCTGGAGGTCACCATGTAGGCTAGGTTCTCTGGCTAAAGAGCTCCGAGGATCCACCTGTCTTCAGCCTCCCGAGTGCTGGTAATACAACTGTGTGGGTTGTGTGGGTTCTGGGAATTAAACTTATGTCCTCATGCCCATGAATCAAGCACTGCACCATCTGAGCCATCTCACCAACCCTAATTTCATTCTTCTGTATGGCTGAGCATATCACATTTTCTTTATTAGTTTGTCTGTTGGTGGGCATCTAGTCTGGTTCCATCTAGGCTGGCATCTCAGCAATCTTGAGTAGTGCAGCAGTAAACTTGATGTGCAAATGTCTCCAGTATCCTGGCTCAGATCTGCTCAGATATGTTTTCTACCCAGGAATGTACTTGTGCTATCACTCCTTCTTCAAAAGGTTTCTAGTGTGTTTCAGAAGTACATTTGAATCACACCTTCAGAAGGAGAAGGCTATGGAAAAGGAGGCCATATAGGTTTGCTTAAGCAGGGCCTCTGGGAGCATGCTGCTCTTCTAAATGATCTTTTGATGAGTGCCCACAGGAAAGACTTGACCTCTGAAATAGGTCAGGCTGCTCCTGGGTTGAGGAAGTCCCTCTAGCATGTAAGCAAAGCCAGTCACCGGTTCCTAGACAGGCCAGGGGTATCAGAGATCAACAAGAGTGCTCCATCTAAATGACACATCTGTCATTCCCTCCAGTGCTAAGGGAACATTCCAAAAGAAGGGGCAGAAAGAAGTAAGAGCCAGAGGGTGGGAGGAGTACTGTGAAATGTTGTCTTCTGCATATGACATGGTCATGGCACACACGAATGAACACACGGCCATGGCACACATGAACTCACTGCCGCTGGGGTTATCTACACAAGATCTGCACAAGATAGGGCCTGACGATATTCTTTCACATGTGTGGGGATCAGGGCTCATGTTTTCAGTTAATAGTTGCTGAGAGAGGGGGCCATTAGTAAATTGTCCGTGCTCCAGTAAATAGCTCAACACATGCTCATTCGAGCAACCCAGACAAGCAGTTCCTCAGATGGTAGCCTTGCCATGTCTGAGTGTGGCCCTGGGTCACCTCTCCATGTCCTGTAGGCTACATGTGACCATGACATCATGCCTTTATGCTAAGCTTTTGATTTCCCCAGCCCACCCACAAGGACGGGTCCTGTGAACCCAAGCCCTGCAAGGATCACAATATCTATTCCTCATCTATATCTGCCACAGCCCATTGCCCCACTACCCACACCCTGAAAGGCTGAACAATACACTTCTCTCTACTCAGTTTCTTTGGGGTTGGACCTAGTTTCTCCTCCTAGATCTTTCAGGAACACATGTGTGTCCCCACCTTCCCAAGGAAGTGTGTTCTGGCCTCTCTGACCTGTTACGCTCCTGAAGTACAGCCTAACTGTTGCCTGTGCCCCTCTCCTTGGTGGCACATGTCTCCAGAGCAGGTCCCTGAGTATAGGTACTAACCAGGTAGGACCTGGGCAGGCTGTTTTATCTCCAAGAAGAGTCACATCCAAAGGCTGGGGTGGGGAGTGGCTGGGGAGACTACCTGGTGGATAAACTGCTTGCTGGGCAAGTATGAAGACCCGAGTTTGGACACCCAGCACTCATGTAAAAAAAAAAAAAAAAAAGTCATGTATAGTAGCATGCAACTGTAAGGCCAGGCAGGCAGATCCCAGGGTCTCATGGCCAGATGGCCTAGCACACTTGGTGAGTTTTGGGTTCACTTAAAAATCCTACCTCAGAAAAGAAAATGAAAAGGAAGACACCTGGCATCAACCACTGGCCCCACCTACACACACACACACACACACACACACACACACACACACACACACAGAGAGAGAGAGAGAGAGAGAGAGAGAGAGAGAGAGAGAGATGGGCTGGGGGAGGATTCTTGAGCTAATTGTTATAGAACAGTGACATTGGGGCTGGGTACAGTAAATGTCCCATGTCCATATTAACCATGGTTATTTCCTGGTCATCCTTTCACATTAACCTTTCACCATTCTCACCACATGATACTCTATATACCCTCCACTGGGAACTGACCCATGTTGGGTTCCCAGAATACATTCTGGAAGCTTCTAATTGAGAAAGAAAGGCCATTAGAACCCTTCACATCCTGGCCTGGGAATGGTGGCCACATTCAACATCCACTCAGAAGGAGAGGAGAAACAACCCTTCCTACCCTACTCCACATTCACACGTATGCACACATGCGAGCACACACACACATTGGGGGTGGCTGAGGTTTTATTCATGGAGAGGGTCATCCTCCTCACACCTGTAAGGTATTAGTGGCCATCTAAGTCATTAAAGTGTTTGTTAGGCTAGAGCAGGGGAAACATGAAGGGGCAAGTAGACGTGGTACCCACCTGCCCAGTGTAGCTTGCTGGTGTAGTGACAGTCCCTGCTGCTAGAGTGATATGGATCTAGGCTATTCTGAGTCTCCACGCAGGCAGCAGGGAGGGCTGCCCCCTGTTCCCCGTGGGAAGGGAACACTCAGGGCTTTAATTATACCTTCTGACTGGATTGACTGGGGCCACAATTACATTCTGTACAGGGCAGCTGCTGCTAGATTATTTCCCAAACCCTTTTAAGCTGTTGAAAGCAAAACCTTCTATGGATTCTATACACTCAAAGGGACAGCAAAATAGCCTGGTGGGAACAGCTGCAGAAGGACCGACTATCCAGCTACTAGCTCTGCTCCCATTGTGCCTCCAGAGTCCTTCTTGGCCACCAAAGGAAGGGAGAGGAGCAAGTGAAACAACTGGACACATCACCAGCCCTGCCTGCCTCCTGCACACTGAGAGGGGGGTCAGGAAGTGTGCCCTTGTG